GCTGAACATAAGAAAAACCAGTATAATAGGTTCTTACATGGTCAATTATGTAAGGGGTTCTATATATGGTGGGTGGGATTTACCAGCTAGGGTCAACATAAGATAGTTCCCTACTTTGCAAACTATTTGCAATATCATGAAGAGCTGCCAGGCCATGACTCCAGATGATCAATTGAATTTGGAGGAATATACCATGAATCAAATGCAGCTCAATTCAGTTGATTTACTCTTTTATGAGGTATGTTTACTACATAATCTAAATGTATTAAAAGGTTTCCAGTGCTTCTACATATCAAGACTACACGCCTTACCATCGCATAAGCAGGCGTCACCGTACAGCGTCAAAAAATAGCGGAGTACAGTTTTCTGTACGGTAACGCAAATTAACTGCTTTGAAGCAAAAACTATGACAAGGGTTTAAAAAATTAATTTGATGAAAACTAATACGATTTCATGTGAAATAAAAACAGCATTCTCTTAGAAATGGTTTTAACTTTCTTATTATGATAAACGTTTTACGAGCACTGTTCGGATTCTTTCTGAGTGAATCGGCCCACATAATCGACCAGAGTGAAAAAAGGTTGTTTTTCACATTTTGTTTTGTTATTATTTTCCCTACCGTCTGAGAGTATGGATTATTTTTATGAGAATATGTATTTGTTACTTACACATTTTAGAACGGGCGAAGATTCAGCAAACAACCATTCATTATGTATATTTAAAAAAGATCAAATTTGTACGGTGACGCACAAGCTGTACGGCGACGCTATGCTTTGATGAACTAAATGAGACTAAGATTGTATGAAATGGAAACTCTGGAGTATGATCATTTGTTCATATATAGTGCATGGGCGCTACAGTTCAACGATATCTTCCACAGCTTAATGGAAGGTTACTGGAAATGTATGATACGGTAAAGATCATGAAACCAAAAACTCTCTTGTTGCTATGTTATTGATGTTTTAAAACAAGGGATGTCACAAGTAAATCTCATCTTGCACGTGTGACTTTTTAGGATGAAAGATGCAATATCTTGCATGGGGTAAAGATGGCTATGTAGGCTATCTTTGTTAGTCATATGAGAAAAGCCTGGTTTAGTTCAAATGATACCAAAGCATTACGTCAACTTTCAAATAGTTAATTCCATGAAAACTTAAAATATCGAAATTAATACTTCCTGTCCGCCATCTTAAATGCGAAGGTGAGGGCTGTAACCTTCGCTTGATACTTACCAGTGATAATGTACATGTAGATCTGACGCTTCTTTACCTCTTGTTTGAACAGTAAGCTTAGAGCACTTCATAAAATCTAAGGAAGCGTCACCGTACAGCTGATGCGTCACCGTACAGTTCTGATCTTTTTTAAATAAATACACTGAATGATTATTTGCCGAATATTCATCTGTTCTAAAATGTGTAGATAACAAATACATATTCTCATAAAAATAATCCATACTCTCAGACGACAGGGAAAATAATAACCAAACGAAAAGTGAAAAAACACCATTTTTCTCTCGAGTCAATTACGTGGGCCGATCCAGTCAGAAAAACTTCTCGTAAAACTTTTATCATAATTGGAAAGTTAAAACCATTCCTAAGAGAATGCTGTTTTTATTACACCCGGAATCGTATTTATTTTCATCTAATTAATCTTTTTAAAACCCTCATTATAGTTTTTGCTTCAACTCAGTTAATTTTTGTCACCGTACACAAAACTGTACTACTGTATTTTTTGACGCTGTACAGTGACGCCTGCTTACGCGATGGTTAGGCGTGGACTAGAGAATTAGTATTAGGGTAAGAGTCTGACCATAGGCTGTGTGTTTCGTTTGATGGAGAGATGGGTATGGATTATGGAGGACCTACCAGGGAATTTTTCAGACACTGTTTACAAAATAAAAGTTGTTAAAGCTGAGCATATAGAAAAGCCAATATGATAGAGTCGTAAATGGTCAGTTATGTGAGGGATTCTATGTTTGGTGGTAGGGTTCCACCAGCTAGGGTGAGCAAAAGATGGTTCCCTACTTTGCAAACCATTCCCAATATCATGAAGAGTTGCCAGGCCAATGAGTGACACAAAAAGGCTCCATTGGTGGTACATACCTTGAGAATAATTGCTTTTTATGACTGTTAAGTTTCGCTGATGTGCAAAACAGTTTGGATTGAATTCTGAATTACAATCTGTCTGTTTTCTGCATTCTGCAAAACTAAAATTACTTTGATGTTATTCTGTGTCTGCATTCTGTGAAAAAGGTTGAGATGAGTTAATAATATGGTATTTGGGCTCAATTCTGTAAATTCTGTATTCTGCGTAGTCTAAATTCTGCTAAAATTCTACAAGTCTATACTGAACTTATTTTTATAAGTGGAGTGACAACTTGATCTTCCACTCATATCCCTTACATCAATAACACTACAAGCAATGCCTATGTCCACTTCTGATCTCACTTTTAATGGTGTAAGGCATATGTGGTTAGTATTCAGTCTAATATTTTGATGTGCAAGGAGAGATATTTGACTTCGTATTTGAGTATTACTTTCTCTAAAACGATCTAAATAAAAATGTCTTAAACAAAACCTAATGAGCACCGACCAACCAGGCAGAAAAGTGCTGAAGTAGAACAGGAAAGGAATTTCAAGAAACCCTTACAATCAAACAGTTAAGGGATGAATTAAAGAACAATAACATGCAAGTGCCTATTTCAGAAAATGTCACCATTGAAACTTTATTGATGAGATACGCCAGTATCTATCTTTAAATAATTGGAACAGGTGCCTGGCTGCTTGAACCTCTGATAGCCTAATGACCAATAATGACAGATTAACCACAGACCACATGCTTCAATTCTGGGGGTCTGTTCTCACTGGTCAGCAGGTCAGTCTCAGAGGTTCTGGCAAGCAAAGCAAATGTTAGCTAAGTTTCGTGATGTTTAAGCAATCTGTGCAAAGTTTCCCACCCTCCCATCCCCTTTGCTCTAACTTACGTGCATTTGAGGGTAGTTTACTTTAGTTTAATTAGGGTAGGTTTAGCGTAGATTAACAGTAGGTGAACCGTTGGGAAGTGTCCCTTTGTATGGAAGTTTTGTTTTCTGATTACTTTGTTATGTAATCTTATGTAACTCTATGTGATTTCTTTTGTTATGTAATCTTATGTAACATTACGTGTGATTATACAATATACTTTCTACAGCTCCAAACACTTTTTTGTTGTTTCATTTATTTAAAAGGAGAACAAACATAATACTAGAACTGGTACTTACGATATCATTATAATATACATTGTTAATTGCCCATTATGAGGAACAGAAGACCCCTTCTCTACTTATGGCAAAAGACAGGATTCTAGAAATACATGCTGTCAGTTCCCACAGCAATCCCTACATATAAAATTCCTGACTTATGCAGCTTTAAGACGATACAAACGGATAATCTGTGAAGTGTAGCCTCAATGTCAAGCAGTGCTTGATTCATATAGAAACAATTTTCTTGAACTAAACCCCCAAATTGGATATAAAGCCTATGAATACCACAAACAGTCAAAAATCTGGTCAAAAATCAATCAAAAGTTGCTCAAATTTCTGGAATTAAAGTGGATAATGCCATGATGTCGGGTCCGAGTCAAGTGCTGTTAACATCATCGACCTCCAGCAACAACTGATACCCCTGTTTGCAGACAACTTGCAACTCAAGAGTGCCTTTGGAGTGACTGCCAGAGTTAGCCACCAATGCAATGTTGCCAGTTACAAGGAAAGCTATACTCGAAGGTAAAGATGTTAATCTCAACATATTTTTGATACCAAATTTCGATTCAAGCAAAGCAAGAGCTGTCACAGATGATAATTTACAGATAACACTAAAAGAGGGAAAATCCCCGTCTTGAAAGAGTCTCGTCTATCTCCGAGTTTAAAGCTCATTGATGACAAAAGATGTCAGTGGCATATTTTACCAAGATTCAGACATGGTGAGAATGTACCAAAGATAAAGGGAAATTCTGTTCGTCGATGCCACCCATAAACTGTCAAATCTAAGAATTAACCACTCTTCATTAACTTGGTGGAAGATGGCAATGGTGGCTGTGATGTTGATCATCATTACAGAGGATTCACATTCAATTACTGCTATGGCTACTTCTTTAAGGCATCAAACCCTACCAATACGATTAAAGTAATTATGCTTGACAAAGACTTCACAGAAAGATAGGCATTGGGAGAAGTATTTCCTGAGACAATTATACAGATTTGCCTGTTCCATACCCTACAATCAGTTATTAGAAAGATTAGCACCAAACATTTTGAGCCTTACATATTACATATTCTACAATTATGATCAAAGTGTCACGGAATGATTTCTAATTAGGATTTAAAGCAGTATTCCAATTGTTAAACTTTTGCTTGTCTGTCTGCTTGTGACGGATAAACTATATGCCATGTGAGAGATTTGGGCCACTCCCGGTCTAGACTTCAAAGAGATTTATCTGAATGTTAGCAGTAGATTAGCAGAAACTAAACAAGTGAAATAAATTAAAGATAGAAACAAAAACCTCAAACTATTGTGTACAAATAATATAAAGATCCCTGTTCATATTTTGGTTGAGCTGTCTGAGGTTTGACAAAAGTATGGATTTATCAATATTGGACAAATTCCATGGAAAATCAGAGGAGAATGTTTCTATATGGTTAAACACTATAGGCACATTTGCAACTTTAAAGAATTGGAAACCAAAAAGGAAATGTAGCCTCATCCCACTTTTAGTTAAGTGAGAGGCAGCCAAATATTTTGAACAGTTAGAGCAAGATACAAAAAGCGATTGGGAGGAATTGAGAGAAGTTCTTGAAGAGAGGTTCCTCCCCAAACAAGCAGAAAGATGGGAGTAATTGGACAAATTAGATGATCTCAAGCAAGAAAAATAATATGTCAGTTGATGAGTTCCACAGCAAACTAATGTATTACACCAGCAGGCTGAAAAAAAATGCTAAAGCTGTTTAAGAAATCAGTGTACAAGGACTAAATACTTCAACAAAAATCTTTGTAAGCCAAAAGGATCCAGAATCTTTAGAACAGGCTGTCAAATATGCCAGAATCCTCTTCTTCAGTCAAAGGTTGGATGTTTAATCAAGTCATTCAATTACTTTATTATATGGCTGATTTATACATTTCAAACAATCAATTTTGTATTTCATTTGTATTGTATCTGAAAACTGAAACATTGTCTAATCATTGTACATCATGCACTATCCAGAAAAAAAGATTACCAGAAGCAGAGTTCGAAGAATGGAAATTGTCTCATGATGCGGATTGTGGGAAGAGCTATTTAGGCAGTACAGGTGTCATGGAGTTGGTTGCAATGGGGAACATTTTTGAACAATCTATGGATGATAACATTGTTTATGAGAACTTTAAAGGTGATGGTGACAGTAAGAGCTATGCTGCAGGAGATAAAGCTGACCCCTAAATATATACTCAAGAACTGACACCAAGAAGCTTGAATGTTGTGGACATGTTCAAAAGTGTAAAGGGAACTTTAATTAAAAAGGTGGCCTCGTGTAAAGGTTGGTGCTTTATAGATGATGTCATGGGACGCCAGTTTACTGGTATTGCTGGAGCTGGTACACTTACTAAAACAGATTCAGTCAATACAAGGACACTATGGAGCTGTTATCAGGAACAATCTAGGCAATGTTCCAGCCATGCTTCGTAATATCATGGCCATGTAATATCATGGCCATTTACCATCACAGCCATTTACCATCACAGCCATTTACCATCACTGCCACAAGAACCATACCAATTGTGGGGCTTAGTGCCCGTCCATATCTGGTAATTGAGACCCAGATAAAAACTCCTTGCCTGAGTTTGTCATGCAGACTAACTTCTGTTTTGGGAACTTTTAAGTGAAGATTTGTAACAAAAATGTGCCTATGGAGGGACTCTGAACATCTAAAACATCCTGTTGTGGGTGTTGCTGTGTGGGTGTTGCTGTGTGGAGGTAGTTGAACACAGTGTTACTTACAATCCTGTATAATGAATGTGAAATGGGGAGATAAGACATATTCCATAACCTAAACATGATTCCAGGATATCATACTTTTGTTGGATTGCAAAACTTAAATAAAAAAAACAGAATAAATTTTGCATATTATATATTTGATAAAGTAATAATAGCTGATCGAAAGCGTCAAGCTGTAGGCCATGCAGCACAGCGTAATGATGAGCAATATGAGGCTGGACCTTATTGAGGCACCAAACATACTGTGATATATCACAGTTGACTGATAAATGACTAAGTTAACTTAAAATCTGAAATATTTGGATAAAAACATGATTTTCTCAAAATGCTACGTTAGCTCACTGTAATATTTAAGCTTTAATTTTTTTCCACTGAGGTGATACTTAGTTTTCAAGTATTTTGGTACCTCATTTTCATCTTCACACCTTTCAATAATTATACATAAACTTTGAGAGTATTAATTAACTTAAATCAAAATGTGTCAATGCTTCACACACATTTAAAACAATGCAATTAAGGAAATAGCTTCTTTTTAGTACCATTTAAAAAATGAAACATGTGTGCTCTTTTTTTATAATTCACTAATTTCTTGAGGACTCAAACCTGTAGCACTGTCACTTTTATATTTTCTTTGTATGATTGCAGTTATGATTAAGCTGTAAAGAGAGGTGTTGCCTCATGAAAGCAGGTACCAGATAAGTTAGCATGGGGAGCAACATGACACAAGACTCAATCTATGACTTAACTCCCTTCAGCTTGACTGTAGTAACATATTTGCATCGGGCCAAATAGGTACTGCAACTGGTAGTGAATGACCAGTCTGAAGGTAATAAACTTCCATCCAATAAATTCCTTCCTGTCACCTCTAGTTATGCAGGATGTATACAGAATTGCTCTCCAATTGAGGGTGCAGGTAACATTGCCAACAACCTTGATTCACTGATAATGAATTAATGTTAGAAAATAATACACACTGTCAATATTCTTACATGCATAGAGACAATAACAAAAACTTTTACAAATGGAGCCAAGTGATCTGTTTGAGCAACAACTTGGAATTCATAGGAGTAATACTTCCAATGTTTTTTATTTGGCTCTAATATCCTATTGTATTTACATTTTTAGGTTTACCAAGAACATAGGCATTGGTCATTGGTTGTCTCTCGTTTGATAGCTCTTACTGCTACCCAAATTAATTTTGTCAAAGAGCACAACATTAAAGCAATAGAAGTGAAAAGTTGCGTTCCTCAGGGCTCAATTATGGGACCAACTTTGTTTATTAAATTTGTGTTGTATGCATATGACACAAATTTACTTCTATCTAATCAGAATCTAAATGAATTAACCAGACTATTTAACAAGGAACTACAGTCAATCAATTTATGGTTTAAGCCCAATAAACTATCACTTAACTTAGAATAAACTAGTTTTATCATTTTTGCCCCAGGCAGAACCATCATTCAAAGAGACATATATATATATTTATTGACAATGTTCCTATAAAGAGAGAACTCCTTGGAGTTTTTATCGATGAAAAACTAAATTGGAAAAAGCACATTCAATATATCACAAAAAAAATATCAAGAATAGTAGCTATTCTTTACAGAGTAAAATATATTCTCAGTCATGATTCTAAAGTTAAATTTACCATTCCGTGATTCTCTCTCATATTAACTACTGTAACATCATTTGGGGCTATGTAAAGAAGACAATTCTTGCCCCGATACATTTAATTCAAAAGAAATGCATCAGATTAATTACCAATTCCCACTTTAGAGAGCATACTGCTCAATTATTCACTTATTGACCATTTTTGATATATATTATTTAAACATTGCCATGTTTATATTTAAATGTTTAAAAAAACATCTGGTTTTCCTTTATATATTTTCAAAGATTATTTCAAAATTGCTGAACATAGCCATGACACAAGATCAAAATATATTTTAGTCCAGCCCATGTACCATATCAAGGTTGGATGGGATTCTCTAAAATTTATTCGTCCATCATACCACAACAAATTACCAAATAAAATTAAGGAATGTGTCAATATTCATTTAACCCTTTTAAGGTTATAACGACATTTATGTCATTTTACCGCTGCCTCCCACCATGACATTTATGTCGTTTTGACGAGTGAAATCATGAAATGGAGATAATCTTTAAAAAAAACTTATATCAGACTAATATAACCGTAAGAATCTATGTCGAAGCAAATTTGAATCCTTCACTTACATTCACAGGGACTGTAAATCGGCCTGAACTACCCTTCTTTATGGGTGAAATATTGTAAAAAGTAGTAAATACCACACATACATCAGGTACATACATGTGCATATTACATTTATAAGTTCAATTTATTTTTCTCTGCTAGGTTTCTTGGACAATTGCAAAACCCACACTAGGCATTCTTTTGTGTGTGTTTTTATTGCATAAATAAAATAAAATAACAAGTTAATTGCAAACAATTACAAGTGAATCAAGACCCTACAGAGTAAAATGTCATTTGTTTATATTATACCATGCATGCATGATCACAAGATGAAATCCATATCTGATGCTAACAATATCAATATAATCTGTCATTCCAGATATGCTAATTAGAGTGGAGCCAATGACTTTGAAGATGTCACTGAAGCAGAAATACAGCCATTCCTTGGTTTGCTACTAAATATGGGTGTTGTAAAAAAAGCCTGAGCTGTCCATGTATTGGGAGGAAGTTGAGGGCAAGACGTTGTAGATTTAGTGCATCAGTGAAGGACAATTATATTCCAGATAATTATGGCGATAAGGGTGCTCCGATATGGCAATGTTATGACAAGAAGTTTTTAATAAAATACGCAGTTAGATGGTAAAATATGTTAGGGAGTTCCAGATTCGTTAGATTAGGAATATATTCGTTAATTTAGTTTAAGTCGGGGCTTATTGGTGGAACAGATGAGAGTTGTTGCCGCTAGAGGCGCTCATGATTGAAACAGGGAGGAACTAATAATTACAGATTATAACATTTAATAATAATTGAAACATCTAAACAATAAAAGTTAATTACCAGAACCACAAGAACAATTAATAACAACTGAAAGATCAGCGATGATTTCAGTTTACATTACCACAGAATATAACTGATCATTTCAGTAAAAATGGTGACCTTACCCTGCGGAAATGGAGATAATGTTCCACAGCTATTTCTAAGCATGATACAACAGCGCTGAAGCTTTTTTAATTCAGTATTGTTTATTCATTTTAGCTAGAGTCATTGAAGACTGACAAGGAGGTTCAACACTATGTACAAGAGCATCTGGAAAACAGTTATTATGATGCAGGCTTTCGGACTGCTATTTGCAGACTGACTGTTCAGGATGTTTCCCGATTTGTCAAAGCAGTTGCAGTTAAGGCTTGTTATACACCACCATGTCAACAATTCTTGGAAGGTAAGTCTTACTGATTATTGCTTTTAAATAACATGGTGACAATTGACCCTGACACTTGTCATTTAAAGGTCAACTTTAAGAGATGTTATTTTTGTACAAGTTTTCTAATTTTCTAAAACAACAAATGAAAGCAATTGGTTAGATTTGACCTTCTCAAGGTCAAAGAGGATTTGACCTTCAAGGACCTTCTCAAGGTCAAAAAGGTATTTAAATTCAAGTTCTCTGAAGTTTAAATCTGACTTTAGATTTGAGCTTTCACCTTCAATGACCTTCGCAGGGTCAAAAAATACTTGTTTCAAATTGATCATTTTTTCAAAATCATCTTGTTATATTCCACCAGCATCATTCACACCATTCGTACTTTTCGTGTAACACTTAGTTATATTCAAACACATGTTCTCATTTGTTCTTCAAAAATTGACATGGATATATGCCCCTCCTTCCTCAAAAACGGCAATGGTAAGATCTTTAATCTAGATGAAGAATGGCAAGATAGAGAAGGAGTAGTAATACAAACAGATGGCACTCAAACTGTAGGGTATAGAATGGTCTGAATGAGGAATTCTCTTGGGGGAGTGGTCAATCAACTGGAAAAAATGAAAACATAGCATTACTCCAGCTTTATCCCATCATGGCAGCTTTCTTTGTGCGGAAAGACCAATTCCTTAACAGAAGGGTCACAATAAGATCTGATAATGAGGCAGTATGTTCTGTTTTGAACAAGGGGATGACAAGAGATACAAAGAAGGAAGATGGTCCTCTGATGTTTGAAATGCAACATATATAAAACAGCTCTACACTTATTAGGATCGCTAACATTGCAGTTGATGTCTTATCTCGTAATCTGTTACAGAAATTCCACAGGGTGTGGCCTCAAGAAGCAAAACAGAGAGATTCTTTAAGGGTTCAATAAAAGAGCTTGAATCAATTTTTGACCAAATACAGGGTGACCGGAAA